TGCAGATGTTCTGTAACTATCTACCATCTATCTGTCACATCATTAAATCAACTGTTCTCAAATTTATAATATTTATAATGAATTTCAGACAAATCTGATTATATTATTTACTAAAGTCTAGTTAGGTATACGTAAATTCTGATAAAGAGAATTAGACAGATAGTGAATAGTGAAAAAATCTTTGGCACCAACATTGTAATTGAACCATTGCATGTTTTCAATTCACATACGCACCTGTAATTTTCTATAGGGAAAATTGTTTTAGGAACTGCAATTTTAACAACATACATTAAATTTTAGTATTTTTTTACGTTAGTAGTAGAATTTGTTATTATATTATTAGGATACTAAAAAGTTTTCAATTTGTTATTCTATACTTTTCACAATATAGTTAAGAGGTAAGCATTATTAATGGGATCTAGAAGGCCCATTGCTAGCAATATACCTTGTCAGGTAGATCTCCATGTCGTTCCCCTGCAAAACCATCGCCATTAATTCTAGGTGAATTCATCACGATGGTCCAACTGACCTGTCTCTATCCTCATCTATCTTTTTCTTCTTTTACTAGTGCTCCGCTAGCGTCTCTATGTATCGCAGACGGGTTTACCATTCCATTTTTATCAATTGATTTTATCATTAAAAAACGACCTCGTAATTGTATGAAACAGCCAATTTTAATGATTGAAAAATAAAAATGTAACTTATATAACATTGCTTTATTGTATGTCCGTTGTTCCGTTATCATATTTTTTTTCCAGGAAATTTAAGTACATCAAGGTCCACGGTAAAAAAAAGTAAACACGCATTGGTTATGGTCCGTTAAACATGTTTTACCATAACTGTAGTGCGTTAATTTTGAAATTTAACGTAAAAGAAGATTTTATAGCTCAATTATTGGAAGAAGCTATTGGTACTTTTCAAATGTACAATGACGCCAAACCCTCTGGGCAAGTTGGACTCATGCTATTCTCATAATTTACTTTTAAGACACTGTCGTAATAAGAGCTATTTAGATTGCATGCAGGTACCTACGCATAGATATGCATGTGCATGACTTGTTGAGTCCATTAAACTTAAGTAGATGTTAATTGCGGCATAGAAAATTCTAATAATTCGATAAAGCGAAAGGACTCAAGAGTCTGTAAATTTATTTATCATATATATTTATTTATTTATTTAAACTTTATTGACCAATAAAATATGGTATAACACGCGGACTTAACGCTATAGATATTCTCTACCAGTCAATTTAAAAAATAGTTGTATCCCCCGACCTTGTTCGCTATCTATCGGTGTGTCAAACTTCGTCTGTTCTTTTGTGGTGTTATCGGTATATTTTCATATAGCATTAAGCGTTCAGCTAAACCGATATTTTCAGTATTGGTCTTATTTAAAATAATTGTGGTGTGCTTTTAAGTGATTAGATTTTCTTTTAACTGAAAGTTTTTTTCTACTTACATATCGGTCCAATAGGAATTTAATCAAAATCGGTTCAGTAATTTAATTTTGAAATCCAAATAACTGGTTTTGCCACAATTGATGTTAGTACTTGTTTGTGAATCGCAATATTTAATTATTTACTTAATTAGTCACTTTTATTGCACAAATCGCTATTTTATTTATATTTAGCATGTTATTAATATTACTATCAAAGATCAATCAAAGAAATTGAAAATTTGAAAACTCAGAATGAAATAAAAACAACAATTGGCTGTTTTCTGACATTTGAAACTTCTTCATCTACGTGCATTTGATCTTGTATATAAATAAGTAATTACCGCTGCACAGTGTAAATGTAATTTTAGGCTTGAACCTCGCAGTCGGAGCAAGACCAATTTAGGAAATTAAACTGTCTCCTATTAAGTAATTTCTAGTTTTTCTGTGTTTTGTAACCATATTAGTATAAGTATGTTTGGTAAGTTTCTACATGTATTAAAATTACATTTCAACAGAGTAGATATATTTAAACAAAATGCTTGGAAGCATTCTGTGACCTACATTAGATGTAATTAATATTTTATAAATAAGATTCTCTAACTGGCATAATAAGAGTAAAATCAACATACCCTTTTCCGTCTCTTTCTTCCAGGAAAAGTGTTTAATGGCTGCGGCGGCGGTGGTATGTGGTAGAAATATGATTGGGAATACATGATATCTTCAATTCCAGGCACAATTGGTGTTGACCGAGCCGGCACCATAGATCGAACTGTGCCGTACATGTTTCTATGCACCCGATTCCCGTACATGTTCATTATTCCACCGTAAACACAGGCTGTATGAAAATCTTTCCCACGACTGTGGTCGCAATTAATAAAAAGTAAAAAAGCGCGCGAATCTTGACAGTTGGAAGCGTCGCGAATTTAATGCAGTACATAAGTAGAACTTATTTTTAAAATTAAAAAAAATAAGCCACTGCCAATTAGCCGTTTTAACTTTTAATGAACGAAACTATAACGAGGTTTCTAATGGATGAATATTTACGCAAATATTATAATCCATAGTACCACGTTCTACGGACAAAGGATTAGAGACGCGGGCTGATGCTGTGTTGTTACTGTATAAAATGTTCTCGGTACACTGGTGGAGATATGGCCACGTTCAAATTACATTTAATTATCATATTTTATCTGCTTTTTCCAATAGGCTACATCGAGCGCGACGTATCGACATAGTTATGTTTGAAAAGGGGAGAAAAACATGCGCTCACGCATAGCACGCGCCGATACACTCCGGTGACTTTGAAAAGTTGTCAATTTAATGTTTTGTGGTTGTTTACACTGCCTTTGTTGGGGTACTTAACCAGCAATAACCGAGATTGAATCAGAAATCATTTATCGACTTGTTGATAAATTTAATAAGTATACAAAAAATCTGACGTTTCAAAGTAGGTAGTCACGTGCCAATTCATCTACTTAATTAAAATACTTGTATTCAGTATTCACCATGACTAGGTGAAAGAAATTTGTACAATTTTATGTCTGCACGTTTCATAATTTCAGAATGTTATTTATTTTTATTTATATATTCATTAAAAATAATTACAATATTATAACAGCAAAAGCCAAATCAATGTTATGAATCTAGTGTGCTAACATACAAAATTATAATAAATGTACTTAACCCGACTCTAGATATTTGTGAACCGCTTCCAATATCTTTGGCAGGCTACTACTAAAAATATCAATGATGTTTATAATATTATTTAATAACCGTACTGCGTGAGTTAATATAGATCCGTTCCCTTAGTATATTCCCATAGTCACTCTATCATGACTGTATCAACTTTGTGGTTAAGTGAACATCTTAGCGACTTGCCCACATCGCCATGCATGATACAATGTATCATAGAGCAAGCCTGCTTCTGTCTGTTGGAGTATGTTTATGTTTTTCACTCATCATCATCATATCATATTAGCCGTTATCTGAGTGCTGCTAAACACGGGGAACTCCGGGGGAAAAGGGGTTGTAAGTAATGGGGTCAAATAACCCCATTACTAGCAATATAGGGTATATTGCTAGTAATGGGGTCGGGTTGACTTCCACGTGGTTCCCCCTGGCAACCATCGTGGTCGATTCTAGTTGAATTTGTCAGGATGGGCTAACTGACCTCTGCTGCTTTCATTCTCATCTGTCATTTCTCATTCATGCCCCGCCAGTGTATACCGATAACGCAGGCGGGGTTACCATACCATTATCACTCATTAAAAAAACACACAGACTCCAGCAATAGACTATTCCTTACGGTAGTTTATCATTGAGAAGTTTTTACCAGAAGCTGTCACATTTGACAGGCGGGTTACCAACCGCAGTTACACTTAGGGGGAAAGGGATTGTTAGTAATTGGCAGGTTAGTCCTTATTGCTATCAATACATCCTATCAGGTCGACCTCCACCCATTCCTCCTGGAAATTATCGTGACTAATTTATCGTTGAATTAATCACTACGGGCTTACTGACCTGCCTGTTCATTGTCATTTGTTATCGTTCACTGATCCCCCGTCAGTGTATACCTTAACGCAGGCACCCTGCCTCATCATTCCATTATCAACCATTAAAAAAACCGCAGTTAGACTTTGCTAATGTTTTAAAAGGAACGCTGCTGTCCATCCCTCGACAATTAAGTTTTCTTAGTCGCCTCTTACAACACCCACGGGAAAGGACCAAAATGACCAATTCTATGCCTGATATTCCATTACCATAGTATAAATTAACAAATGGCCAGGATTGCACATTAATGAAATATATATCTAAGACAACTGGAGGGAAAGGGATTGTTAGTAATGGAGACTGAGAATCCCATTGCTAGCAATATACCCAGCCAGGTCGACCTCCTCGCGGATCCCCCTGGAAACTATCGTGGTTAATTCCTGATGAATTCATCATGATGGGCTAACTGGCCTGTTTTCATTCTCATCTATCACCCTTCACTGGTGCTCCGCCAGCGTATTCCGTTAGCGCAGGCGGAGTTACCATACCATTTTCACCCATAAAAACTAAGACAACTCTCTGTCTCTACTGAATGCAGAATTACGACGCCATATAATCTCTATATAAGTAACAATTATTATGTATATTTATGTTTTATCATCTCGCCATTGCCGTATAAAAAAAGAATATGATTTTATCTATTCTATTGCATAAAGCTCATGTTACACAAGTGATAAAAACACTGGTAGAACGCCCACATGAATGACTATACCCACCAATATAATTCGTGTAGATTCGTAGGATAATACCTATTAAAATAAACTTGTAATAATTTAACGACTGGTTCCTGCAAATTTAACAAATGATAATTAGCATAAAAATTGTCTATATAATATATTTATAGGACTTAGTAAATGTCTATAGGCGACATTTACTACTTTCTATTAAGTGGACTGTAAGCCGTTTTAAATTACATAAAAAATTCGTCTATGTAAGTACAAAATTTTAATTAAATCTATACAGTTATATAACGAAGATCGAAAATTGAAACACCTTTATGGCGTATCTCCAATTATCATGAAACGTCTCATAAACCTATTTTAGCTATTGTTTGTCTTTTTCTTTGGTGCTAACTTCCTTATTTGAAAGAAAGTGACAAAATATAGTAATAATAAAAAAAAGTTTGTAGAAGAGGTGTTTTTTTAATAAGGGGTATGACTATATGACCATGGGTAATTAGTTACTTTTTTATCTTGACTTGTATACATCCTTAAGTCTATATTTACACCTATGACCGATTTCCATCAAAGATGTGTTTTTCGTTACATCGTATATAACTGTAAAAAGTATATACCATACCTTTACTTTATACCATTGCATAAAATAAATATAGAATCTGAATCACGACGGTGGCAATCAGGCACACGGCCCGCCTGATGATAAGCAGTATCGTAATCTATCATTGCCACAACATCAGAAGTATAACGTGTGCGTTGAACTTTATAATTTGTTGGTTTTAGTTAGTTAAAATGTGACTTTGAAGAAACATTATAACGATTTTTTGTTATTGTATAAGACTTCGGGTTAATATCTATTTAATACAGATAAATTTTATCTGTGATATTCTAACATTTTTCGGAACAAGACTCGCAGTGGCATCTCGTGGTTTTCGTCAGAACTACAATCTCATCAAAGTACACTCCGGTACGATACGTACAGCGCAATAGATTTGAGATTCGTCACTAGATGACGCTTTTAGTAACCTACTTGAAATTACGCGTCAAATTCAAACGCGTCAAAATGGCTGACCAGCTGGCAACAAAATTTAAAGCTATAAAATGTAAATAGCCGACTTAGCGCATTAAGAACATATATATTTTTTTAATAACAAAGCAATGGCTGCAGGTAATATAATGAAAGCATTCTTTACTTTGATCTTCGACAAAGTTCACTGTAGTTCATTGAGTGGCAGAGACAACGGATTTGGAAACAATTATATATGGGCAGGATCACTGGAGTCAGGTTTACAAATAGCCACACATCATAACAAGCCTGTTATGGTGATTATACACAAATCCTGGTGTTCAGCCTGCAAGAATTTGAAGCCTAAATTTGCTACTTCGTCGGAGATACAATCGTTGAGCAAGCATTTCGTTATGGTCAACTTGGTTGACGAAGAGGAGCCGAAAAATAGCAGTTTTGCTCCCGACGGATCTTATATACCCAGGTAAAATTAGTTACTAAAAATAGCATTATAATATTTCAATGTGGAAATGCCTCTGTCTACCCATTAAAGGATTATAATCGTATGAATACTTTTTCATGATAACTTTACAATAAATACATTTAGTAGAAGATTCTATAATTAAGTTTTTAGTAATGGTATATTTCATTCAAACTTACCATTATGGTTGTCATTAAAATGTTTACCTTTTATAATATTAATAGTATTGTAAAAAATGTGAGTTTCTTAATTTACTCATATTTTTATTTATACAAATTTAAGTTACCAGCGCCAAAATTTGAACCGATTTTGATAATTCTTTTTGCATTTAATAAAGCTTACGAGTACTCTCATGTTGATTCCATATTAATTTTGTCACGATTGGAATAGCTCTTATTGTTGCTTGTTATTGTTTTACTCGTTTACATATTTTTTATTTTTGCACAAAAGAAATTCAATAAATTTAAAACAACATGTAAATCCGACATAAATAATTACTATATAGTATGACGTACAATAGTTATTATACAACAAAAAAAACTGTTACACCTAACAGATGGAATAAAAATACATAAATAAGTAAATACCTTATGATTTCTTATTACATCGTCTTTACAAATAGATCCAACAAAATACAACTGTTACTGCATAATCTATGGTTGCTGCAAAGATCGTGAAGTGTGAAGCAAATTGCGACGACCTACTAATCAGCAGCCACATTCACGTCATTCGTTATAATTGACTTGCATTATATACCGTTACCTCTTCGTTTCATATATATTCAAATTATTGTAAATTTATATAGTATAGTTGCAATATTAAAAATCATATCTAAAACAACAACAAATTCGTTATTACTGCAAATCCAGTAAAATAAACTTGGAACTACCCAATCGGCAAGGGCAAACCTACGCACACATGCCCAAATATATGACACTAACAACAACAAACATAATAAAAACTTTATAGTAATACATGTACGAGTATATAGTAAACATTCTAGACCTAAAAAAACCACTGTTTCTAGGATACTGTTCGTATCACCAAAAGGATCTGTGGACCACGACATCTACAATGAGGAGGGTAGCAGTCAATACAAATACTTCTACAGCAGGCCGGAACAAATCGCTAAATCGATGAGAAAAGTCCTCGAAAAATATAAACATGAACAATTCGATGTATGATGAACATTCCAAATTTATAGTGAGACTTTTACATTATAAAACTTCTAACACTGTCTTAAGAAATGTAATTATTTTAAAATGCTATATGTGTTTGATGTAAAACTGACAAATTTCCTTGTTTACAGGAATGAACGTAGACATGAAGTGAAATAATTTTGACTATTAAATAGACTCAATAAAGTGAATGAAGCAGTAATATACTATTTATATACATAGTAGATAAGTACAACGAAAATTTAGAAATAACTATTACAAAAAACCCGAATTTAACTCACGCATATTCACGAGAAAAAAAAAGGGTAGTGTGTAGTGAAAATATAATGTACAAATATATAAATTATCCGTGTGGTCCCAGCATAGAAGAGTCCCTTTCTTTTCTCGTGATCGTGGTCTTGTCATAAGAGGCGACTAAGAAAGGGCGAGGGAATGGCAACAGCGTCCCTTCAAAAACATCTCCAAAGCCTAACTGCGGTTGCCAATTCGCCTGTCAAGCATGGCAACTACTGGCAAAACCCATCTAAGGGAGGCTTATGTTCAGTAGTGGACAGTTAAAAGCCGATATGATGATGATGTAGTGAAAATAGCCTGAATTGTGAGTAAACATTTTCGGATTAAAAAGAAATAAATCGATTTATGGTTAGCAAATATATCGCGTGATTTGTAAAAAATACAGTGAGAACTTTTTATTATTTAAAAGTGAGAAAGATACTAATTTTTTTTCGCGATTTAAAGACTAAAACCACACTATAGTATCGGTCTTGGTTCGCTCTCGATCTAATAAAATATTGTTACATTAGAAATAAAGTGCGTATTCACACTATAATCCAGTCTCGTTTCGATCAACTTGAACTGTTTCAGTTTGAGAGCGAATCGAGACATCAGGAACAGAACCGAGGGACAGGCCTAATTCATCATTGAAAACAATATCACAGAAATTCAGCTACTGTTCTCATAGGTTATAAACAGTACAACGGTATAAATCTGCTTCCGATAAATAATTAGGTATTTATAGTAGGTGCCTACTTTGTTATTAAAACATAAACATACACTGGGACCGTATTTCATTTCATTTTTGTTCGATTACTCGAGGCATAATTTAGACACTCGTATTTCTAGCCGGCTAATACATAGATGTATAGGTATACGTCTTCGCATCCAATATTTTTAGAGGGTATCGATTAAGAAAAGAAAACGTAGCCTTTAAAACGTAGATAGAAAATGTCAGGTTTTAATCTATGTTTTAAAAGGACGCAAATGAGAAATAACTTTTACAGCAAAGGTAATAAGTACTCACATCTTCGACGACTGGTTCGACGTACATCTCCATGGTGTTGTTGAGCGGCGGTAGGATCATCGGTGAGGCCGCCGCTGAGGACCTCCTGGATATACTGTTGCAGGAACATTGCGACACCGAACGACGTGATCGGGGAGATTCTCTGTCGACAAATTATAACGATTTGTTACTTTAACTTCCAGACATTAGGGGCAAGGAATTGTTAATAATGAGGTCTAACAGATCCATTGCTAGTGATATACATTACTATTTTTTTAATGGATGATAATGGAATGGTAAACCCCGCCCACGCTAACGGTATACGCTGGCAGGCACCAGTGAGGGCTGATAAGTGAGAATGAAAAATCAAGTCAGTGAGTCCATTGTGATGAATACATTTGGAACTCAGCATGGTAGTTTACAGGGGGAAACACGTGGAAGTCGACCTAACAGTCACAATCACAGCTGCTTCACGGCAGAAACACAAATGTGACAGAGGTTCCCATGCAGACGACTTGTGACGTGACCATGTACTAAGTCTCCCTGTGTAGGCTAGTCTGTAACAAATTTAAACTTAGGACTGCGAATAGCAAAAGTGACTCAATTGTTCCATTATATTGAAGACAACTGGTAACAAATTTAGGACAGCATAAATGCAAATACAATTGACGTAAAACTGCACTATAATCGTGTAAATGTGCCAACTATCAAAATGTCACACAGTTATAGTTTTAGTTTACACAACAAAATTTTAGCATACATGAAAAATTATATGTTTATAATAGAATGATTTACATTTCATAGCTTTTTGCCTGCATAATCAAGAACACTTTTTGTATAAGCATTTTTTATGATTGTTGATTAGTTTCTTTTCTGTTAATGTTATGAATATAGTATAAATGTTATTTTATCCACTAAAATATGTCAATTATTTAATAGCTCATAATTTGCAATATTATATACTGTTTTTAAAATAAGATTCATTTGCGGATCAATGTCAAGTCTTCCGGGCTAAACCCAGATCGTCAAAATTACTAGAAAGAAAGTTCCTTCCGTGTTTCGGGGCTGTATGGCAGTGAAGTTATAAGGTACGCAGGTATAACATTATATTCCCCAAAAATGGTAATGCATAAGTAACTTTACTAGTAGGTAACTTTACTGATTTATGTCATGGTTGTGTATACTATTTTATATGTCTTAGATATTGTATGTTTCCCTTTCAAAGTGAAATAAAAAATAAAAATAAAAAATAAGTGGTACCATGGATACCACAGAGTAATACTATAGTGTCCACCCATGGTGCTGTTCATGTCTATTGGTGACGATTACCGTTTTTCATCAGGAAGGTCGTCAATGCAATGTTGTATGCAATATATATATAATGATTTTTAATCAGTTGACGTCCCGGCATATGTGTGTTAGTGTTGCCACCTGTGAGTAAAAAATGCTAAATGCTGCATGCCATATTTTAATAAAGTTCGCAAAAGCGCGAGATTTCCCTAAAGAATAGTGACTACGTGACGAAAACCTAAGCTCCCTCACCTTATAATCAAGCATGGTATTTTAAATACCTTCCTCCCCTCTGAACAGGTCACGTAGTAGTATAGGTACGTTTCATTAATAGGATTTTTTTTATTAACTAATTAAGGTCGATTGACGTAATTTGCTTATTATCTATAATTATCTACTAGCATAATTATATTACATTTGATAAGATTAAAATGCCCGATAGATAACTTCTGGACACCTTAAATTCGCCACTTATTTACTTAATGTAAACAATATTAGTAGATTCAGTAGTTTATCTACATATATCTTACAAATTTACGAACTATTATGATAAACTGAATTCGACTTCAAAAATCTTATTCATTACATTTCATTTACATTAAAAAAGTTCCAGAATATCAACTATCATCCACAACATAATGCAAAGTGTAGAGTATAATATTTACCTTCTGTTTCGTCTACACACATGTTGCTTCGCTCGATCGCATCTACATCTCACAGGGACGAAATATCCCAACTGTGGTAGTGGAGCGGGTCCATTGGAGTCACTAGAATCACTCCACTCTGGTTGGCTGAATGGACCGATGCCATAAGCCGACGGCATATCGTCAATTTAAAAAGTAATTTATATATTTTTTTTAATTCACCACTGCATTGCGCGGCAAACACTGTTTACATTAATCTATGTTAAATTTTGTTTTTTTTTTTTCACTATTCATTATCACTAATTAAAGTTCGGAATGATAGCACACAAAGTTCAATTATCAAACACAATTTTAGCACAATTATTCAAGGCTAGTTATCACAGTTCTTAGAACACGTCTTGTTATTAACAATTACAATATCGTTGTAACCTAATTTCTAAAAGTCTGTGAAGAAAATTTTACGGTGTAGTGATAATAATTTGGGAGCGGTAATGTTATAATTGGATTAAAAGACTTAAATGATATCTTTTGATAAGATTAAATAAATGTTAAACAAACTTCACTCATAGTTTTTTAAGTCTTGTTGTCTTTTAGGAGTGATTTATATCATGAATGGATTGTGTATGGAGTTTGTGTAATGGGCCCGTAACGTAAGTAAATAGGTATATTTAGGAATATTTACGTTATGAAAAGTATATTAAATTTATTTAAGATTTTATCCTAATAAAAAAATACTTCAATCTCGGTAAATCTATTCGTACATTCACAAGGTAATACAATGTTTAGAGTAATCAAAATTGGTTGAAATTCGAGAAGCAAACCTATAAAAATTAAAAACATACAGTTGAATTAATGACCTTCTTCTTTTCGAAGTTGGTTAAAATGAGTTAAGGACGATACGTTATTATGGTAAGTCATTGATTACACAATGAAAACGTAAATCAAATTTTAATAGCTCACCATAAACTAATAATTTAATGATTGTGGATTTACATAGAATATGTTTTCAAATATGTACTTGTATATTTTCTTGATTCATATATGTAACCTTTACAACCTTAAGCTATTAACTGCGACTTCGTTCACGTGACCGGAATATGTTTTCCGACTAGAAAAAAGAAACCTATATCCTTCCTCATCCCATATAGTACGTGTATACCAAATTTCATAGGAATTGGACAAGCCATTAAAGCGTAATAAGGTAACAAACAAACTCACTTTCATATTTACAATATTAGTAAAGATTATAGTTTATTTCGAAAGAATGAAAACTTATCTAAGTTTTGTTTTAATCACTATAAAAATGTTTTTTAAATAAAATTACTACATAGTATAAAACAAAGTCGCTGTCGCTGTCTGTCCGTCCCTATGTATACTTAAATCTTTAAAATTACGCAACGGATTTTGAAGCGGTTTTTTTTTTAAATAGAAAGAGTGAATAAAGAGGAAGGTTTATATATATAATACATGCATAATATAGTAGAGAAACACTGGTAATTTTAGAGGTTTGTAATGTGTACCCGTACGAAGCCGGGGCGGGTCGCTAGTAAGGAATAAATCAAAATAATTTAATCGATTTTTTTTTATTTGTGTTACAATTGGACATTATCAGATTGTTTTAAAGTCAAGTAAATTATTCATTTGTTAACATTTCTATTAAATTCTATTGAAATAGAGTATAGAACGGTGACGACCACCCTCTGCCTATATTACCTGCTTAGTTTTTTCTACAAGATACATGGAAAGTCGTAACGGAGCCCCTCCCACTGTTATATTGGTAAAAAATGCCGAAGGATCGTGGACTTCCATTCCAAACGTGAGGGAACGCACATTCCTGATAGGGAGACGTTTTTTATTTATTCCTTTGCCTCGTGACGGTGACTCACAAAGCGTTCTGCCGACATAATGTAATTATGAATGAACATTATTTTTTTTAATACGTGGAACTGGAAATGTCGATGTTCTATCTAGTCGGTACGGCATTAGTTAATTGGCACGTTCAAGCAAGTATACTTAAGTATGGGAGGCTCATTTTTTACTATATTTCCTTGGGAAAAATGTTCAGTTTCATTGATAGAAAAAGATACATATCAATGACTATGAATTCACTGTGTATAAAAAACCTTAAAGAAGTACAAACAGTTTTTACTCCAAAATATCCAAACATTGTTATAAACCTTTATATCTGTACTTTACACTATAGTAATATACGGGTGACATATTATACTAAATCACAAAAAAAAAACAATATTAATTCGAGTATATAACTAACGAACTGAACAAAACATTCGATTTTGAGCAAGTATCATTCATTCACAGTCATTAGATATTTGGAGATGACCTCAAAAAATTTGAATACAGTTCTTTTAAAGTAAAAACTGCATAAATGACAGCTGTCACACGCATCATACTACACCGCGCAGAATATATGATTTAACGAAAAACTTAATTTTAAATTATTGATTAGATATGGTTACTTGATTAGAGAAGTAAATACGACAACAATCAGAAGATTTCACATGAAGTACTTAATACATTATCAAATGTGTATATACTAAATAATACTAGGTCTAATCTGTGGCTTTACCCTCATATATATAAAGTATTGTATGTTAAATAATAATCAGTACGAATATAATAACCAGAGGGAGACTGTACAAAAGTCGATTGCTTGGGTACCTCTGTCCCATTCGTGTTTCAACCGTAAAGCAGTTGTGTTTGCATGGCTGTGTTTCGGTTTGAAGGGTGGGATATGGCGTGAATTTACTGGGTACAGAGGAATAACATCTGAATCCTCAGGAATGGCAACGCATGGGAGTTATCATGGGCGAAACAGTATACTCTGTTATGTCCATGGTGCTGCTCATGTCTATAGGCGACGGTTACTACTTTCCATTAGGTGGGCCGTCAACTTGTTTGCCATTCTAAGTTGTACAAAAAAATACAATCGAGTCGAGACCTTCTTATTTTTGAAGTCGGTTGAAAATGAAACCATATTTTGTCAGAAGTACGTTATGTACGGCCATTGGCACCACAGTACAACAGTAAAATAAATCATTCTGTTGAACCGTTTCAAAAATAACTCTTGCGACAGTTGAGTACAAGTTTTGTGACCATTGTAACATTGTTTGTATGCAAGTAACGTACCAACTACGCCATTACCATAGCCTCTACACACGAACGTTTAAAAAAAAAAGGTTAATATCTTTTTTAAGGAAATGCTCATTAC